AGCTATTTGTAAGTATCTGTTTGTACAGCTTCCCTATAGTGGCTCCAGCACATTACATTAGCACAATGTGCAGGTAGTTCTGCATAAAAATAGCTCATGGAAATGTTTTTTTATGGGGCTATTTTTACTTTCTTGCTTTGCGTACTTTTTAGAGCCTCTACTTTTTCACCTTCACTTGAGTAAAGAAGATGAATCAGTATCTGTAGTTCTACTTAAGTACAGTCTGTACTTTTGTTTTTAGTTTTCCAGTGAGTTATTTTTATTGATGGCATTTGGGCTAAAATTTGTTCATTTTAGCCCAACTCTGCCATCTGCTGGTCGTCATGAAATATTGCAAGATTTATTTTCAGGCACAAAAAGTTTACAAGTTTGACAGTGTGTACATGTGCCTGATAGCATCTTTAAAACCATTAAAATATCTGTGTATTGTGATTTCTGTCAATGTTTAAAATAATAATGATTAGGAAATATTGTTTGGTATTTAATGGGCATTATTAAAGTCACTTATTTACCACTTGTTCAGTTGCTTGATAGAAGAGGAAACATTTAAATTAGTGTAAATGACACAGTATTGAACTAATTTGCAGCAAACATAGCGCAAGAGAAAGAAGACAGGAGGTATCATTAGAGTGAATTGTGTCTGATCACAATTTTTTCTTAGATCATTGCTGTATTGCAGTGTATGAGCATGTGGGGGTGTGTGTTTATGTATGTTTCAGATTAAATAAAATCATTAATGGAGATTGAGTAAACATAATTTTCCCTTGCACCTCCTGCGTTACAGTTACATTGGATGTCAGAACTCCAGAGTTGAGTGTGTGCCGGTGGTAAAGACAGAAAGGCAAGGGAAATCAAATTCTGTCAAGCATCCCATGTGTAACTATTGTAACTCACAACCTTGAGCTAGAGTAGATCGCTTGAAGAGAAGCAGTTTGTATTCTTTGTGTTTAATATACATGTGAACATAAAACGAACTATTATCAAAATAAAACAGGAGGTTGAGGATAAACATTGAAAAATGTAGAATAACAATAAAATAAACAACAAAAAACCAAAACACAAAGCCTTGAATATTTAACACGTACACAAACAAAGATGCAGGAAATACCAACAAGACAACTAATTTTTGTCAATTCAAATATATCCTATTCTGGTTTTTAGTAAAGAATAAAAAATTATTAATCACCTTGAGGCAACTGTTATTAGGATTTGACGCTATATAAAGAAAACTACATTTAATTAAACCAAATGCTTCTACTTATAGAAATAATCTGTTTGTGCTACTAATCATCGTTTGCTGCAGTTTCCTATATCATGAAAGTTACATTTACAAAAGATTGAACATGAGGTAAATATAACAGGTGGGCTCTGAACATGTCTCACTCTGTGCCTTGAGTCTCCAGCTGACTGGGATAGCAGAAATTAAATAAAAATCAGGGGGTGAAAATTCCCAGAAACTGCATTTCCTCATGCATGTCCTGCAAGTCCAAACTGTTAAAATTACAACTTGTGAACAACTAAAGAAACATAGTATGGTATAAAATGGTGTTTCTAGCTTTCTGTAGCTTAACCTCCTCATTGTGCAGATTACATCTTATTTTTTTTCCATCCACAGACCAGAGAGGGATGTGATCATGGCTCTTTCACCCACTGTTGTCATTTAACCTGCACCTTCTTGTGCTTGCTTTATAACACTGATGAGTTCATCATTCATCTGTTTTCCATATTTAAAAAGTCCATCCACATTTTGTGATGAAGCTTTTGTTGATCCCAGTAAACACACCACTTTTGAACTGAAGCTGGAAACAGTAGTGAAGAGACTTGTGTATTTGTTTGTGGCCATGTTTTTCTAAAATAGAAAATTGTTTTTATTCTCTAACATAGTAAATGAAAATAATATGTGATAGTGGAGACACACATTTCAGTGCAAAGTCACAGGTCACTTATGTCCACAAACCAGCCACAAAAAGTGTTGACAGACATGTAGCAGTATATGCTACTTTGCATGTGGTTATCAGGGTTATATGTTAGGTGGAAGTGGGGAAAAACTCTGACTCAGCTTATGACTTCTGCTTTCATAAAGTTTTGCCAAACAAATGCAGGCACATGATATTTTTTGGCTGCATTGTATTTTGGCTTTCTAATAGATATTGCTGCAGCATGAAAAAAGACACCACTTCTTCTGTCTGGGTACACGACCACACTTTAGGCAGGGTGTTTAAAGACGGGCTGTCCTCTGTCTATGGGTTCAAATTGTGGCCATAGATATGTTGTACTTGTACATCAAATAGTTGTAGTTGTGAGCTGAGTTTTGTAACCTCGTAAACCACAATATCCAAAAATGTTATGTTTGTGCGTTCATGGATGAGAATTTGTGTGAATTATGACCAGAAGCTCAGTAAGCCACCTCTCCGACAGCCAAATCCATCTGTTCTCTGATTGGATTGTTACATTTGTGATTGACATAACATTGACCAATCAGCTGAAAGAAAGGGAAAATTGGGTCAAAATTGTACTTGTAAGTTCAAACTCACACACAGCCAGGGAACTTGAGCGCAGAGTTTTACATGTAGTTTTTTTTTATAAGATAAGAATTGTGTCGAGAACACATACACGTGATCCTGAATCAGAGAAATAGCATTAAATGTTGTGACTGTTGATAGAATCATAATGTATATGTGGTTGTAGTACTGATTAAGTATACTCAATTGCTCAATACTGATCAGAATATAACCAGGTATATTAATCATAAATATCCTTAAGTTAACCAGTATACTGCATAAGAAAATTTAGAACATAATAATGAATCTGAAGACAGGCCTCAAATAAATCACCTTGAGGCAACTGTTACTGTGATTTGGCGCAATATAAAGAAAACCAAATTGAACTTGAGGGCATCCACACAATTAAACTTAAGAGGTTGACTTTGGTGCGTGTGTGTGATTGTGTATGTGTGGGTTGCGCAAGACGGGAGGGAGTGAGAAATATATAATTTAATAGAGTTTAACAGAGAACAAGTAAAAGAAAATATTTCTATATAACTGGATTAAAAGGTAACAGCTTGTAACAGCATTCATACACTTACAAAAAATTAAAGCACATAGATCAAGTTTATTTAAGTTAACATTTTAAATAACAGACAATTGCTTTTGTTAGCATTTGAATCCAACACTATGTGGGTTTTTCCAACACGGTTTGTCAGGTTTATCTAACTGAATACGCGCATGTGCATGTTTATAACAATTAATAGACATGCAAATAATGCAAATGGACACATCTATTTCAATTACAAAACAATGCATGGTATATTTGGATTGTTTAATATATCAATCAACGAAGAATGGAGGACAGCTTTCTATTGTCTATTTGTGTTACTCATAATAACCATTGCCTGCTCTGTTTCATGTATCAAAAGCAGTTGCAATTTCATGAGCTTGAGTTTAAATTAGGTGTTGTGGCTCTGATTTTCCCAGAGTGAAGAAGTCCCACAAGCAGCAACAGCAGAGCCACCATTATGATGGTGAACACAGTCCGTAAGACGAGGTAAATATGACAGCCAGGCTGTGACGAGGGGTCTGTCTTGGTCTCTGTGTGATTGATTGAGCAGATAAAAACAATTCATTAATTATTTCAGTGTTCACCTTGGTTATTTACTTAATATTTACATTGGCAAATTCAAGGGCTGAAAAACTGGCAGAAATGCAGTTCCTCTATTGTCCATTTAAGTTGTGAATTTACCCCCATAGACTACCAAACTGTTAAAAAGCCCAGCAAATGAACAATTAAAGAAATATGGTATAAAATTATATGTAAATTATATCTGCACATTTTTCCTCCATATGTAGTCCAAAAGTTGTTATCCCGTTTGTTGTTTGTTGTTTATTATCCAGGACATAATTTTTTTCACAGTGGTTTATGATTTCTGATCTGAAGAGAAAATTGTGTAAATGATAAAAACAATTACTGAATTATTTTATAATAAAAGAGTCTGTTTAATCACACAAAGCAGGAGACTGAAGTGAGCAGTTAGCGATCATCAGCTGATTCATGTGTCAGTCACAAACCCACTTCTTTGTTTTCTCTTCTGTCAGACAAATTCACCATAAATTCTAGTATAATGATAAGTGATACAGTTGTACTACTACCGGCATTTAAAAGGAGAAAAACAAGACCTCTTCATTGTCTCACCTGTGACACTGAGCCAGCTCTCTGGTGATTCTCCAGCTCCTACAATGCTGCATTTATAAAGTCCTTCATCAGATTTTGAAACTTTGTGGATGGTCATGCTTCCTGTTGAGTTGTTCCTGATGTGGACTCCATATTTATAGAAATCAGCCATGAAGTCTGAGGGAGTTAACTTATTTCTGCAGCTCAGGGTCACATCTTCTCCCTCCATCACAGGAACAGCAGGACTCTCCAGGATCACAGAACCAGCTGAATAACAGGAGTTTTGTATTTTTTTTTAATAAAATTTGATTAAAATGAATCACAAAATATTGTCTCACTGCAAACATACCAGTGATAGAGATGTTGATACTGTTGCTTCTGATCCCTTCTTCATTCTCATAGCAGTACTCCCCACTGTCATCTAGATAAACATTTGTGATGGTGCAGGATGATCCTTTGGGACATGTTTTTATTTTCCCTTTGACTTTATGCACAAATTCACAATAAACAACTCCCTCACAGTAAAAGGTCACTGCCTCATATTCAAAGAACTGTAATCTGTTTGGAAGGATATGAAGAGAAAATGCATCTAGATGAAGAAAAGGAGAGATTTACTTTAGTTTTATTTTTGAATATCACAAATCACAAATTTAAGTTCCAAACAAACTGATAAATGTTCATGTCAGTTTACTTTTCTGGTACTTACCAATTTTCTGATCATGTGCACAAAGCAGGATGATCACACTCATCACTGAAAAGACAAAAAACGGGCAACACATTAAAAAAGAAAAATAACAAAAAAGAATAACCGCCATACGTAATACTTAAATGTAAAACTGCTGACAAAGCTACTTGTTATTTGGCATTTTCCTCTAGATGAAACTTTTCAAACCACATAGTTTTCTAAAACCATTATTAACTTATAGATTTATTACAGTTTAGTTTTAATGTGGAAGTGGAGAAAGTACTCACTGAGTTTGACGCAGAGAGCTCTAAAATCCATGATGTCGTCCAGATTGTTAACAACATTCTGTTTCTGTTTGGCTTATTCGTGCTGCTGATGCAACACTTGGCATTTAAAAGAAGAAGCAAAAATGCTGGTCTAGTAACACTGCAGTTTCAGTTCACTGGAGTGAAATCAGAGACGAAAGCTGCCTTTAATGCAACTTAATAATAATTTAATGTTTCTCACATTCACTTTACTACGATACAGTAACATGTGAACAAGTATGTATTAGTATAAAATCCAGAGTGGTATCATTGTTTAAACAAAAAATGCACAGCTAATGGGTTTATTCCAGTACACAACATTTTTCTTGTTGTTAAAATCATGAACATACACTTGTGGTGAAGCTGCTTGCACTTATCAGTGTGAATACCTGATTGTTTATGGACATATGAGTACATCAAACAGAGATACAAATACTTAAGAGACTGGACATTTTATTTGCAATGATAATTTTCACACAGCGTGTCTATTACATGCATGCATGACTCCTGAAGCAGCCCAATAAGCATAAAAGTTACTCTACGGCTATCATTTGTTAACATGACGCTTGTTCTGATACATGTAATACATTTATTACCAACCCGAGAGTTTATCTGCTGGTCACTGGACATTCTTCTGAAGTCTTAATCCACCTCCAGCTGAAGATTCCCCTCAATAACACATTGGGTCCACTGGTAAAATGTAGTTCTAGTAATCTGCGCTGGATTACTCTGTGGCTTTCTCGAAGGACCCAGATGTAAATCCCCAAATAATGAATTTAAGAACTGAAATTGAATTTTAGAACTGAAACTGAATGGTGAGAAGTGAAATTGAAATTACTGGAAAGCAAATTTTTAAAAAGATGAAATACAGTTTGAAAGGAAATGAATTCATTTTCAAAATATACAATTCAATTTCAATTTAGTGACGATTATTTTCAAACCAATACATTGGATTTCAAATTAGGCTAACTCAAATTCAGTTTTAAAAATCATTTAGTCAAGTTACAATTCAGATTCAATCTGACAAATGCAAATTAGAATTTAACTTATTCAAATTCAGTTTCTGATGGCACAAAGTTCTGCCCAAAATATATCATGTAGAAAAACTGATATATACTTTTGAAATTGAACTTCTTTATCTTCTATGAACATATTGCTTGGAGTTTCAGTTATTCAACCTACTTAAGATCAAAGTAAGCTGGCCTAGAAGAAAAATGAGTTTGACATACCCGTGTTTTAACTACCATAATTTCTTTTTAGATATTTAAACATCAATCACTTTCTTTCACCCAAAATTATTTTGTATTATTCATTCTACATATTAGTGTTAACACAGAGTCCACATGGAGGCAGTCAATGCAAACTGTTATCCAAACATAGGATCAAATTAACATAGGAAAAAAATAAACCGTCTGGTACATTTCTAGCTGGATATTTGTTTGTTGCAATAATATTACAATATTATTTGCAATAATGGTTTCAGCGGTGCTACTCTGCCTCTTGCCGTGCAACACGAATACTGCAAGATCTTCTCCCAGGGAGATAAAAGAGAAATCCCCACATACTTTGTGTCAAACGAGTGAATTATGGCCATGTCAAATTATTTATTGCAAAGGAAGTAATAAAGGAGGTAATAAAAGTTTATGACATGTCATAAAAATATTATATTTCACAACTCAGCTATAAATGATAATCATATGATCAAACATTGTGATAATAATAATAATAATAATAATAATAATAATAATAATAATAATAATAATAATAATATATGTATAGAAATTATAATTATGTATGGGACAATAATCATGTTAGTGTGTTCTCATTTTAGTGTTTGGCCTCACATCTCTTGCAGTGCTCATTATTCTTTGTACTCACCTTAGTGTTCTTGTCTTCCCAGTTGTTTCCTGACTCCCGATACAAACTTGCAATAGCCTTGCTCACCTGGACGCTGGACGCTGGACTCCATTGTATTCCAAACAGCTGGTAAAGACTTTCAGTGTTCTCCGGTCTCACCTGCCTGCCTCCCTGCCTGCCACTGGACTCACCCAGGTCTCATCCCCTCCCGCATGACTCCACACAGCAAATCCAGCATGTCCAAATTAACACTGTCGGATTTGATTTCAACACTATTAAAGTGTCTATATGGGTCCACACCAGAGAGTGT